AAACTAAAACAATTTCCGAGGCCAACTCTTCAGACAGGGATTGGACTGGGCTGTGAGACATAAAGTGATATTCGTGAGGATTGTGCCTTTTAGCTCAAGTAGATACAAGAGACTAAACGGGCAGCTTCTGTCTGGAGGTGAGATGGGAAAGCAGAGAGGGTTAGGAGCTGGTTGAATGGACACGGGTAATCGGGTGGAAAGGAGGAGTGTGCTGTCACAGTATGGGGACAGCAATTAGAGTCACATAACAGTGTATGTATAAATTTTTGTATGGGAAAAAATGAAAAAAAATTGTAAAGACCTTTTGTTTTGCAAATGTCCAGGGATGGTTCAAAACTTATAGGGAAGCAGCCCTTAGCCATCAGTTGATTCTGACTCATAGCGATGGCTTAAACAGAAACACTTGCAATCAAGGTAGAGAAACTAAGTTGTAAGGCATCTGACTGGAGCTGTTGAACTTGGCCACTGACAATTGTATTACCTTGTTAGAGGACACTGTGATATGCCAGACTGAATAACTGATTGTATGGAGAGATGACATTGCCGTTGCCTGATACTGGTGTGACTTTCTTTCTTCCTTCTTGTTTTTTTATCCAGCTTCAGACACTGATTCAGGAGACTGACCCTGGTGCAGATTATCGCATTGATAGAGCTTTGAATGAAGCATGTGAATCTGTAATACAGACAGCTTGCAAACACATAAGATCTGGAGACCCAATGTAGGTTGTCTTATTTGTGGTATTTGTCCATATTGTATTTTGCAGCGCACCCAGGAAACATGACTTTTGAGTGGTTTAACATCTTAATTGAAATTTTGTTCAACAGGAACACATACCAGCTTTTAAGACTAGTATTGGAATTCAGACTTTGGCTCTGCCTCGTTCATCATGTAGATACCTATACCCAGCGTTGTGATGATATTTGTTGGCAATACACAGACATGTACATAAGGTTACTTAATGGTCAAATAAAAATAGGAGAAATACTCAGGCTAAAGTGGTGCATGCTTTGGCCCTAGACTTTTCATCCTATTTGTTCATTGACTCATTGTGTACATTGGCTATTTAATAGTCATTAGAAAGAGGTTAGTTATCATTGAAATAGAAAGCAGAATGTGGTGGTTGGAGAGGTTGGATGATGGCTCTAGAATAAAGACTGGAGTTGCAGCCAAGATCTATGAAAGCTGTATAAATGCTAAAAGAATGTGTGGGAGTCTGTGCGTAGTTTTGCCTCATATGATATGAAAACAGCTCTTCAAACCAGGTTGTAAGTAAGACAGCTTCCCATTCAGCAAATATTTTTATAGCCTGCAGCTGGCAGTACTTACCAATGAAATGAACGCAGTCCATGTTTATCATCATTCTGCCATGTATCATCATTCTGCTATGCGCAGACTCCTGCTGTCTGTGCTGTGGTATGGGATTTATAGTGGGGTGCTTCCTTATGGTTTTGTGTGGCTCAGAAGACAGACAAACACTCTTTAGACTAATTAAGAATATGTATCAATATAAAAACAACTACATCAACCAAAAAGGGGGCAGGGGAGAGGGAAGGAGGAGGAACTAGTACAGATTAAAAAGATTTAAGAGACATATCAGTCAAATGCAGTGTGTGGACTTTTCAGACAAACATGTAAGTAGACATGAGATGTTGAGAAAACTTGAAAACTGACAGGATATTAAGTGATATTAAGGAAATTTTATTAATTTCTTTCAGTGTGATAATGGTATTCTCATATTTTAGAGAAACATGTTAAAGTGTTTACAAATGAAATTATATGATTTCTAGAAATTTTTTCAGAATATCTAGCAAGAGGGAGTAGATTAAAACAGAATTGACCATTTGTATATAAAGCTGTGCGGGAGGTTATTATAAGATTCTCTATTATTGTACGTATTGGAAATTTTTCATAATAAAAATTTTAAAGCCGCTGTGTACAGATTTCATACAAGCTGAGTCTGTAAGTGCTAAGCAGCTCTAAGGTTGATATAAGGCATACTTGATGTCAGTTCGGTTAATTTGAGAGATTCTCAAAAGAAAACAGCAAATCCTTGATTACCCTAGGAAAATAGCTAAATAGCTTTTTCTGTGGACCAAGGAAATACTGATGTTATTACAGTTCTGGGTATGTCATCAGAACTCTTCTTTCTCTTGTTGTAATTTCCCTCCTGTTCCATGGCCAGGATCCTCTCATGCCTGATGGAACACTTATACACAGAGAAAATGGTGGAAGATTGTGAACACCGGCTCTTAGAGCTGCAGTATTTCATCTCCAGGGATTGGAAGTGAGTATTTTGAAGCCTGAGTAAGTTTAATTGCCTCAGTCTACTCTCCTGCATATGTCAATATCAACTGTATGTTTTGAAATAATCAGTAGGAAATTATTTTTGTTAATTTCTGAGGTGGCTAACATACTCAGATTAGAGTGTGAAAAACTCGTTCTTCAGTTGCTTTCAGAACAGTGTCTAAAAGTAGAGTCAGCCCACTGTCCGTCAACTACCAAGCATCCCTGTTCACCACTACTGTAGAAGTCGGGGTCACGATTCAGATACCACAGATGTCTATCCAAAAAGATCTCTGGCACCTGTGGGGACAGAAAAAGCATTGGCTTTTTTCAAATATGTCTCTAAGAACATTATGCATTTTTGTTTTTATTGATTTGCACTGGGTATGAGGATTTGCTTTTATTTCTTTAACTATTCAAAGTTACTGAATTTATTCTATCTTAAGAGGTTTTTATCAATAAATGATAGCTTGATTCTCTTAATTCCCTTCTCATCCTACTAGCAGAAACGGGGTGGGGGGTGTGAACTTAGGGCGGAATCTCTATTACAGTATATAATTTATTGGCTATTGTTTCCCTCATTTTTCCTTGTTATGTTTTCCCTTCCCACCTCCAAAGCAGCCATTAATGGCTGAGCAAATGGCTTCTCCTCCTGCTTCCCAAGTTCAACTGCTTCCTGATTCAGTTGTATAAACCAATACATTTAGGTCATTAACTTTTTTTCTGGTGATTAATATATGTTTACCCACATTCTTTACTAGAAAGAGATTGCTTAAAGATTCCATGTATTTTAATTTCTTTTCCCTGAAATGAGCTTCAAAAGAACTAGAGAAAGCTGCGTGGGAATTTCCCTGTGCTTACTCAGGCTATTGAAACAAAAATAAAGAGTTTACTGAGTAACTGCCTTCATCAAAATCATGTTTTTTCCTCTTCTTTAATCCCTTCCCCTGTGATTAAAAAGTTCTTCACAGTCCTAAAAGCTACACATTAAATACTAGCTTCTCTACTCCCATTATATAGCCCTCCCCCAAAGTTGACAGCGTAATGTGGACGGAATTGATCACCCCTTGATCTAATTTGGAGAAACACAGGCTCTTTGCCTACCTTGTCCCCAGATTCATAGTTAAATGTCAAGGGGTTTTTTTTTTTGTTTTTTTTTTTTAATTCATAAGCATATCCAAATAAAAATACAACTGCCGAAAATGTTACAAGACCTTACCTTACATGGGAAAAAAAGAAGAGGATCAGTTTTACTGTAGAAGTTCAGTGGGAGATTCTGTTTATCTTGCCATTTCCTGCTCTTGTTGAATCTAGTATATCAGGTAGGATTGAACTTCATTCATGCTTAGAAAAAAGTATTTACTGAATAAAAAGTTATGAATTGCCTGGTGGTAGCTACAACCTGAGTTTTCTCATTTCAACAAAGGCATGGTTGTGCTGAGTCTAGTATTGTAATTGCTGCCGGCTGGAAACCCCAGGTTCTGCTTGACTCACCTCAGCCAGTAAACGAGAGACTGAGGTGGGAGAGCAGAAATGTACCTTTATTTCATTGTGCAAGAAAAGGAACAGTTGGGGCTGCTGCCACCAAGACTGGTCAGTGAGGGCAAGGGGGAAGGTTACCTTTAAGGGGTTTACGAGTAGGAAGTTCATACAAGTTACCTCAGCAACATTCTTAATCATAGTATGCAGGTGCAATGGGGTTTACATATAACTTCATGCATCAAGTGTTCAGAAAATGGTGGTTAAACTCTACCCAGAGGTGGGGAAGTTCCTATGTATGAGGTACTTTAATGAGCTAAAAGGTTATCCTGAACGTCAACATGGTGGCTAAACCGATTTCTGCCAATTTCCTCTAGTTTTGGGCAGCAGTTAAGGAGAGGGGAACGAGGATTTTAATGTAAAGCTCTGAGGTATGTCAAGCCAAGAAATCAAGATGTTAGTGTAAAGCTATGGGGTGTGCCAAGCAAGCTGCTTGAGGTAGTGGAATTTTCCGCAGCCTGAATACCTCTGTCTTATAATGTTAGGTATCTTATGTAGCCAAAATAACATCTTTGAGGTAGGACTTCAGTCTTCTATAGTAAGTTTAAATTTCTAAAGATTTACCACTGTGTGTTCATTAAGAACAAAATTCAGGGCTATACGTTTACATATCTGCTGTTGCCACTACCCTGGAGGTGATTATCGATGAGTGCACATTGTAAAAACTCTTTAACATGTGTTAGAAGGAAAAGTATAGTAAGTAGTGGTTATCTTTTAACTCTTAACTTTATAGGCTAGATCCTGTCTTATACCGCAAGTGCCAGGGAGACGCTTCTCGTCTTTGCCACACCCATGGTTGGAATGAGACCAGTGACCTTATGATGACTCCTGGAGCTGTGTTCTCTTGCTTATATAGACACGCCTACCGCACTGAGGAACAGGGAAGGAGGGTATGCAGTCAATACTGACTTTCTTTCTTTTTGTCATTTATTTTTTAATTAGTTTGCCATATAATGTTCTGATTTCTGTCATCCTAGGAAAACTTTTTAATGTATCTGGTGGGGAGGGGTCTGCTGTACTACTAGAAACTTCTTCATTCAGTGAGTGTATGAAGAGTTGCTCCACCAGCTTCTTTCTGTCTGATTTTGTTTTTAACAAAGTGAGTGGGGGAAGACTCCCAGTTTTTCTCCTTAAATTACCAAAATCTGAGTCACAAACAGACAAATTCTGCTGCCCTTACTTTATTTAGTTTTAAAGATCTGTTAGAAGCTTTTAGCCAGGATACAAATGGTTCCTTAGGCTTCTGCCCTTGGCAGCAGAAAACATAATACCTATGTTAAAGAGGCATCTCTGACAGTGCACTAGTTGGAGCAGAAACCGCCATACCTCAGTCCCTTGATATTTGTTTGCCCTGATCGCTACCTTCTTTTGAGATATTGTGTGTGGATGGCTCTCAGGCAACATTTGCTGTCATTTGGTGCCACACTGACATGCTGCTTGCTCTTCACGGTAACCTTTCTAAGGCTTCTGAGATACTTTATTGCATTTCATTTCTTCATTTGTTACAGAAAATAGAGATGAAATTATTTCATATTCATGTTTATAAATACTCCTCCTGAGCTTAATGCAAAAGTCTGATTGTTTAGGATTCTGAATCAGGAGACCCAAATGGAAAGAAATGTCATGCTTCAGCTACTGCCATCTTAGCCCAGTTTTTATACTGCTCTGCATGAGAATATGGGAATTTGTTGTTACTTTTTTCGTCATATAATGAGCCTCTCATTAACCGCAGGGGCTCCTAAATCCTGGGATCTTGCCACCCACTACAGTAGGAGTTTCCTTCTCTTGTAAATGGTCAAGGAAGAAAGGACAGCCCAAGAAGAGCTAGATGATGCCCAGCTGCCATCACCAACCTCTCTGACAGGGGTCACAATAGAGGGTCCCAGGCAGAGCAGAAGAAAAATGTAGAACAAAATTCAAATTTACAAAAAAAGACAAAACTTCCTGGTCTAACAGTGACCCGAGGAACCCCCAAGACTATGCCCCCAGACACCGTGCTAACTCAGAACTGAAGCCATGCCTGAAGTCCACCTTTCAGCCAAAGATTAGACAGGCCTATCAAACAGTAACACATGTGAGGAACATACTTTTTAGTTCAATGAAATATACAAGACCAAATGGGCAACGCCTGCCCAAAAGCAAAGACGAGAAGGCAGGAAGGGACAGGAAAACTAGATGAATGGACACTGAGACCCAGGATGTTTGAAAGGTGGAGAGTGCTGACACATTGCAGGGATTGCAACTAATGTCACAAAACAATTTGCGTATAAAATTTTTAAATGAAAAACTAATGCACGTTGTAAACTTTCACCTAAAACACAGTAAAATTTAAGATGCTATTAAAATTTAAAAAAAAAGGGTGGAATGTTGGTGTGCTCAGTATTTTAGTAAGGGATACTGACTGTACCTGCCAATGACAGCTTTCTCCCAGCCCTTCCAAAAATATTAGTTTCTACCTGCTTCACTTTCTGCTGATTCTCCATAACCCACCTAGAAGAGCCTGGTCCTGACCTGTAGTAACTGTTGCTTCTACTGTTTCCTGCTTAGTCATTCTGAGTTTAGGTAAATTTGAACTATGTTCTCCTCAACCAAGTGTATTTTCTGTCATGAACTAGATTCAGCTTTCTACTCTATATGAATAAAGTGACAAATTACTTTTCCTAAACAAAAAAATTCCCTAGCAAACCTAATCTGAATGAATCCAGTTTACTTATGTCTGGAGACTCTTAGGAAAGAATGTGTTTTCATATAGTATATTAGAAAATGCTGAATATATAATTGCATTCCTAGAAGTAGAGGCTTTTCAGAATCTTCCATTGTAGAAGGAGTAAATTCTTATTCTGTAAGAGACTCAAGGTATGAAGTTTGGGAGGTATGAAGTTTGTAGTTATAAACTATAAAGTTACTTGTTAGTTGCCTGACAACAGGTTTGCTCTTTCCAGTGTCTTTTTGTTTTTCACCTTTTAAGGTATTTTGCTTGTTCTTTCTCATGTAGCTCTCACGGGAGTGCCGAGCTGAAGTCCAGAGAATCCTGCACCAGCGTGCCATGGATGTGAAGCTGGACCCTGCCCTCCAGGATAAGTGCCTTATTGACCTGGGGAAGTGGTGTAGTGAAAAAACAGAGACCGGACAGGTAGGGGACTTAGCTCCCTGTGTATCTTACAATATTATTGTTAATCATTAACATTTTATCTAGAGTACAGACACCATGAAATCCACCTCTGTGTTTACTACATGGGCATGATTTTTTACATTATTCAGTGTTTGCTTTTGTAAAAATGGCTTGGGGGCAGTATCTGACTTCCTCCAACCCCACAAGGCGGGAAGGAGAACCAGTATCAACAGTGCAAGGCTGACTCCCATGAGGTGGAGGCCAGACAAGCCTCCTCTTTTTGCCATTTTTACTAATTCTGACACTAACCATCCCTCGCCCAGAACTCTCTGCTTCCCTACCGGGTTTGGTAATTCATTGCAATGGCCACACAGAGCTTACAGACCACACTTACCATTATGTGGTTAATTAGGGAAGTAACAGTTACAATTCAGACTCAGGAACACTCAGGAGGATACAGCTCTTCCATCAGGACAGCCTCTTCCCAACCGTGCAGGCCTCTCCCCAAAGGTACTCAGCTTTCTCTGTGGGCCAGGAAGCCCACTGTGCCGTCTCCTGCTACGGGGTCTTTCTTGCCACTGCTGCTCACCATCTTCAGGATGACAGCTTGCTCTCTCTCTCTCTCCTCTTTATATCAGGAATACGTGTGCTTTTCCTAAGCAGTTAGTTTATTTTTATATTATCATTACTGTACTTTATAATTAATTATATTCCTCTCTCTGTGTTATGGTTTAGAAAGCCTAGAGTCAAAGATCTGGCCTATCTGTAGCAAGGATGTAAGATTTCATGGTAGGCATTTTGTGCACCACTGGCTCTATCCCCCTTTCCTTAACGTCTTTTCCTTTCTTTCCTTTTTTACTCATTTTTAATTCATTTTATCTTGCCTTTCTTTTTTTCCTTTCTTGCTTTTATAAACTGCATTAAATCCTTTTGAGATAAGGCAGCGTATAAATATGTACATATATACGTAAATACTGGTACGCAGAAGTAAATAGTGTGCATGGCTTAGAAGAGTCCTATGAGATGTGTAGGAATGGAATTATTTTTCCATTTAATAATTGACAAAATTGAGGCTCAGAGAAGTAAACTATATTGACTATATTCTTTCCATTATAATATAACCTCTCCGTATTGGAAATGGAGGGAAGGAGCAGCACCCAAGAATTACATGCATGCTATGAATAAGTTCCTTAGGATTTTTTGCTTGGTTAAAAAAAAAAAAAAATGCATTATTGCATCCTAGCAAATCAAGTGGAACAGTAGTATGTCATGTCTTCCGTCTTAAGGCAGAGACACCAAGCAGTGAAGAATAGCTATTTATTTAAAGCCCTGTTAGTACAGAACTAGGAGTGAACTCAAGTTCCCAGGTTCCATTTGTACCACTACAAAGCACCCTGTTGGGGTTAAAGTATTAAAGAGTCATATATACCGGAATTGGGCATTTCAAAAAGTAACATGGTTACTCAGGTCTGTTGGGCATGAAAGTATCATTTCAGCTTCCTGAGCCTGCTACAGTTTTGTTGGGTTTGTTGTTTGAAAATGGCCTAATGTTTAGCTTTCTGCTGCCCGTCTCCAGTGAAGCACAGGATGTGGTGGCATGGAATCACAGGAAACAGTTTCCTTTCCTGCCTGCTCCCTGATAACTGTTTAGAAAGCTGCACTACATTGCAGCCCATCGCTGAGAAGCCAAATTTAAGAAAAGATTCCATAAATAGGATTTTTTTGCTTAGCCACTTGTTTCACTCCATAGCATTTTTCCCTGTGGCTCCCCCCTACCCCCCTTTCTGAGTATTGTGTAATTCCTATAACCCTTCTTCTCCCTTCCCATTCTAATTCTGAAACAGAGAGACTCTTGCAGAATAATCAGTAAGTTAAACTTGATCTTTAACAGAGTACTTGGCTGAGCAAATGGCTGTTGATATGCTTTGGGAAGGTGAGCTGATATTATGCTTAAAACCTCTAAAAGAAATAGTAATAAACTGATACTGTGATGTAGCCCCAGCCGAGTTTCCAAAACCCAGACAACATAGCTTTTAGATGCCCAAACTCTGGTGTAATCACTTGTTTTGAAATTTCCCTCAGAGAATCCTTTGATGTGGGCTAGGGTTAGAATCTCAGGTTTGACTTGCAGGAGCCATGAACTCTGGGCTGTGTTCCATACGCTGGGTCCTGACCTTGTTTACCCATGTAGTCTTAAATTAAGCCATTTCTTCCACTGTGAATTTTTTGTCAAATGGTCATTATGAAATTGTAGCTTTAAAATGGGAGGTAAAGATTATCTAAACACAGGTTAACAATGGAACTGCAGGGTGTTAATGAAGTGAAAATAAAGGCCTGATAAGCTTTTTAGACTCTGAGTACTCCTGAAAGTGGACTCTTGGTGGACTTAGAGATTTGGCCTTCTGGGCGCTTAACATTTTGAAAAAACATATTGTACCCCCATTAGTCCTCTTAGCCACCCTATTACATGAGGTGATTGTCTTTTCAGCAGTCTTTGTGTGGGGAATCAAATAAAGCTTTATGTTCTGTTCAATGAGGTATTTTTGCTTAAAAAGAGGAGAAAATGAGAACCACTCGAAAGGAAGTAGACACTGATGTCTCAACTTCCCTTGATCATTTATGTAACTCACAAATGCCAAAGGATTGCCTTTTTATTTGCAGGAGCTTGAGTGCCTCCAGGATCATCTCGATGACTTGGTTGTAGAGTGCAGAGATATAGTCGGCAACCTCACAGAGTTAGAGTCAGAGGTAAGCAGTTTGCAGCTCATAGAGAGTGCCCTGTCAGCAGCCTTCCCTTTGTGCTGAGTTATACTGTTTCTAGACTCCTGAGAATGAAGATTCTCTGTGAAACAAAAGAAACCTAGTCATATTCTCCTCACTTGCTTTCTAGAGAAGTATATATTATATTGCTTCCTGAATCCCTTCCCTTGTTTCTCTAGAAAAACATCCTATACACTAGCCATTCAGTTTTATACATAAATTGGAGTCATCACCATGGTTAGACCTGGCTTTTTTTTCCTCCTTAAGAAAAGGTAACAGTTGTGCTTACCTTTAAGTAAAGATAACAACACTACTACAGATTTCTTACTCACATTCAAGAATAGTGCAAGCATTCCTGCTCTCTTATCCTTAGCTCTTTTAATCAGGTCATTTGGTAATGTTTGTATGTTTAATAAAATAAAAGCCTGAGACCTCCAGTTAAACATGGAAGATTGAATGCATGTGTCTATCTATATTCCATCTTAAAACCCACTAAAATATTTAAAATGGATGTTAAAAACTCATAAGCTTACAAGGACATTAAGAATGGGAGAGGAGATGACAAGATAAGAGAAGGCAATAAACTTTTGAAAACTAGAAAGCAAAAAAATGGACTGGTTGAAGAACTGAATATGAAAGAAGCTGACCTCAAGATGTGTTTTCCCACTATGTGCAGTTACTCCCTATCCTTGGCAGAAGAGGTTTCCTCTCTGAAGAGGTTGATAGAGGGATTCTGAATGATGCACAGTGGTGGGCAGGGGAGATATGTTGAAAACAGTAAGATTTATGGAATGAACTATTTGAATTGTGAAAATCAGCAATACATGAAATTGCATCGGCGGTGTATAACTCTTTGCAGGAAGGTGTTATTTTATCAGCTCATGCTCTACGGGGGTTACTCTGCCAAAGGTATTTCATATCTATTCCCCAGAGACAGCAGTTTGTCATCTGATGGGAGGGCAGTGATCTGTATCTGGTTTATAAGCTTATAAACTAAAGATAGATGTCAGTTACCCTGTTTGCATTTTGAACTGCTTAGCATTTTGGAAAACCTCCAAAGGCTTTACATACTCTAATGTTACTGCTAAATGTTTTCACACTCCACCTTTTCTTAATTTTGCCTTCTCTTTTGTTCAGGCACAAGGGAAATCTTCCTCTAGAACATTTGCCTTTCAAAATATAATGTAGGGCCAATTCCGTCTACCCAGGGGCTATTTAATTTAAATATTAGAATTGTTTCCAAATGTATATATTAGATTATTTACCCACCAGATGCTACAGATTCAGAAAAAGAAACTGTCCTTTCTCCTCCCATCCCCACCCCTCCAACCTTGACTCTTTCTAAAGCAGAATTATTAATATATTTAATCTTCTCCAGGATATTCAAATAGAAGCCTTGCTGATGAGAGCCTGTGAGCCTATAATTCAAAATTTCTGCCACGTAAGTGATCCTTGGAGAAACAAGGGTTACAGACAGAACCAAATTCACTGGGACTCACCCCCAAGTGTGTTGAACCTGCCTCTGTCTTCAGCATACATTACTCCAGCTTTGATAAGTTAAACTTGAAAATAAGATCAAGAGAGAGGTACCAGTATCCTGGGCCAACCTTATTTGATTATCCTTTGTAGGTGGCCAGGTATGTGGTTAGCAGTATTTGTTGAGATGCTGTTTATAAGAAAAGATGGAACAGGGAAACCTCTATTAGTTTGGCCGAGTTGTTTCTGATACATCAATCCAGAATTTGTTACCACTAATAGTGGCTTCCCCTTACAACTATCTCATCACACCTCAATGCTGAGTGAATGCTGTTGGTTTATTACTTTATTCACATGTTGAATTACCTAAAGTGTGGAAGTGAGACACAGTGTGAATCATGATAGTCAGGAGGCTATGTTAGATATTATCCCAAAAGCCAGCTGCTGGCATCATCTAAGGAGAGGAATTCAGGTACTGCAGAGTGCATATTCTTGTTAGAGTTTGATGCAGAGTAACTTGGTGATGTAAATTTTATTCTACTCAATGTATATCCTAGGCTTATTTTAAAACAACTTATGATGTATCTTGTTTGCCAAGGCTTCTAGAATTAGTCCCATTTACATTGTTCATGGATTGGGGTCCAGGTTTTATTCATGAACTGTTATAAATGAATGGAAATGTGTACTGCCTTCCTCAGGATGTGGCAGATAACCAGATAGACTCTGGAGACCTGATGGAGTGTCTGATACAAAACAAGCACCAGAAGGATATGAATGAGAAGTGTGCCATTGGAGTCACCCACTTCCAGCTGGTCAGTAACACCTGGCTGTCAGCTTCCTATGTTGGCTGCTTGGATGGTTACTGACTACCTTCCCTTTCAGAACATCACAGCACCTCTTCTGTGAAAAGTCATTTTTCCAAACATACATCCGTTTGATTCTGTTCTTAACAAATGTGGTTTTTATCTACTGTGGCCATGTACTTTGTTAAAACTCGTTGCCGTCCAGTCAGTTCTGACTCATAGTACCCCTATAGGACAGAGTAGAACTGCCCCATAGGGTTTCCAAGCAGCGGCTGGTTGATTCGAACTTCCGACATTTTGGTTAAACAGCTGAGCCCTTAACCACTGTGCCACCAGGGCTCCATATAGTTTGTTAGGCTCCTGGAAGTGCAATGACAAAAGGATATAGCCTGTACTCTTAGGGAACATGTGGTCCAGTGGGGATAGAGACAAGTAAAACGACCATTTCCTCCTTCAGTCACATTACTTGCTTTCGTGAGATATTTTGGCCTGTCTGTTAACAGTTAGTGGGATCTGTTATTTTTTGTTACTGGTCAGTGCAGTGGCCCAAATGTGCGTCAACGCACAGTATGCTAAGCCTTTTTTTTTTTTTTTCTTTTTAAATCATACTACGCAGGTCTAGCATTTGAATAATAAGTCAGACCATACTCTTCATAGCTATCACATTTCTAAAGGAAATGTTCCTGGTATAGCAAGTGCTTCCTTCCCAGAAAACGGAAGTCCAGTTTGCCTCTTTTTGGGACATATAGCATACTTGACTGCCTTCAACAGTTTGTTGTACGTTCATCAAATGTTATTGAGTGTTTTCCAAGTGGTGATGAAACAGATAAAACCCCTGCCCTCATAGACTTTATGTTCTAGTAAGAGAAAGACATTAAAGATAAGGTTACAAATAAATAGACAATCTCTGGTAATTCTATGAGGAAAAATAAAGCAAAGTAAAAGGGTACAGGGTGAAGGAGAAGGGGCTTTAAAAGGGCACATTTGAATAGAAACTTCAAGGAAGTGAGGGAGTAAACCTTGCAAAGATCTGGGAGAAGAGTGTTTCAGGCAGAGGGAACAGCACATGTGTGACTGGAATAGCAAGGAAGCAAGGGTGCCTAGAGAGGGTGTTAAGGAGAGATTGGAGGGTAATAAAGTCAGAGAGAGAGAGAGAGAGACAGAAGGCAAGTCATGCAGAGTCGTGTAAGCAGTCTTCTGAAAACTATATGAATAAAATGGCACCCACCACTACTGACTAAAACGTGCCACAGAGCTTCTGATTTTCTTTCTTGTCTTTCAGGTTCAGATGAAGGATTTTCGATTTTCTTACAAGTTTAAAATGGCCTGCAAGGAGGATGTGTTGAAACTTTGCCCCAACATAAAAAAGAAGTATGTAACTTCTAGTTGACTGTTCTGCTTCCACCAAGTCTTTCTTAGCTACTGAATGAATCTTCAGGATGTCAGGCAAGCTCCTGTTGTCTAGAAGGATTAGCCCTGGAGACCTCCTGTATATCTGCTTTGGTAGTGGGGCAGAATACTTGCCGTTGTCGAGACAGATAATCGTTATAGCTGCCTAGAGGCACAACTGGTTGTAGTTCTTATATGGAGAGCCTGTAGGCTAAAGAAACATTTTGAATTTCTCCGGATTCAAGCTATCTAACTGATAGTTTGTGTACTTAGAGGAGCAAGTTGCCGTGTGAGTTGAAAGAGGTTAACTGACTTCCTCCTGGCATTAATCTATTATGTCATTTTCAGGGAAGCAGCAAAGGCGTGTACTGAGTTATCTATTGAATAAACACGGTTTATTCATTTAAGAATTAGGTCTTAATGAGGAGAGCGATAAGCGTTTACAGCATGGCTGCCCAAATTCTTCCATGTTGCTATTTGAAAAGGCACATTTTCCCTCGTATAAACCAGGTTCCCGTTTTGCTCAGGTTTCTGTGCCTCTCAGGAATGAGTTTTACAGTAAATCAAAGAGGCACAGTCCCAGAGTTAAGAGCAGCATTACTTTGTAGTCACGTTTTTAACAAAGCAAGTGTTGGACTCTACTTGCACACATGTCCCTCTCTGGCCTCCCCTCCAGTCAAGAGTGTAGTCAACATCCACAGGCTGCTGCCGGAGTTTTAGGACATAGTCAAATGATTGTTGCTTTTAGCACTCTAAAAACCAGCGAAAGTGACAGGGAAAAGCATTCAAAAATATGGTAAAAAATGGTGTGGCTCCTGCCTCAGTCCAGCCTCTGCCCTCACGTGTCTTCAGCCAGTCTCAAGCCTTCTCCTTTCCTTGGCAGGGTGGACGTGGTGATCTGCCTGAGTACCACTGTGCGCAATGACACCCTACAGGAAGCCAAGGAGCACAGGGTGTCCCTGAAGTGCCGCAGGCAGCTCCGAGTGGAGGAGCTGGAGATGGTAATGCCTCACAATTTCCATTCCAAGAAACCAAAGGACAGGGTTTTTAGGAAGTTGGGTGGGGGGCTAGGGCAAATTGGAAGACGTTAGCAGCTATTTGGATGGTTAAGACTTGGAGCCGCATGCTAAAATTTAACCATGTGTCAATTAGTTTCTTGATTCACTTTTTTTTTTTTTTTTTTCACTCAGTAAAGATATTTTTTGTCTCACATAATTAGAAGTTCAGCTGTAAGACAAATTATAAACATGGTAAAATCATTGGCTTAATAATGTCCTCAAGGATGGAGGTTCTTTCTTTTTCTCCATTCTGCTGTCCTTGGCATCAGCTTCATCCTAAGGTTGGTTTCCTTCATGGTTACAAGACGGCTGCCTACAACAGTTGGGCCACCTGCTCCATTATTCATATCTAGCAGGGGAAAAAAAAAAAAAGAAAGAAACCTCCTCCCACCATGAAATAAAGATGCATTCCTTCAGTTTGATTGGAAAGGGTCAGCTTCGGATTTGTGCCCACTCACTGAGCAATAGCAGTCTCCAGGGAATGCCATGTACTGATTAGCTTACTGATCAACTGAGGTGAAATGGACACTGGGAAGGCAATCACAGTATTCACTATAGGAGGAAACTACTTCTGAGGTTAAACCCATGTTAAGAAGAAATCTAAGAAATATTCTCAGTATGGTTTGTACTGTGGATCATATTTATTTCACCTCAGTCTGAATAAAAACTAGTAATGAAAACCAAACAAAATTAATTTCTCAAAAGTTGCATTGTAAGATTTTTGCATATAGTGGCAGTGATTCAGTGATAATTCTATTTAAGTGGAGCTGACCTAATTGTTCTATTATATAGTCTTGTTTCAAGCTGGAAGCTTTTGTTCCCTAGCTATGTGCTCAGCTCTTTCTGTAAAATAATAATACTAACAAGAACAGTAGGACCCTATATTTACATAGTAGTTTTAACTTTCTGAAGTGGTTTCCACATATATTATCTTATTTCATCTCACAGCAGTCCTGTAAAGCTGTCAAGGTAAGTGGTAGCATTTCATTTTGCAGAAAAGGTCCGAGTCCATGTAGCTATTTAGTGGCAGAACTGAAACTAAAACCCACTTCTCTCTACTGGACCACCCTGCTGCCACTTTGCTGTGTAGAAGTTGTAGTCACTAACAAGATCCAGTCAGCAGGTAAGTATGTAGAACATTTGACATCTCCAGCTTAAAATAAACTCACTTTTCCATGCTGGCTCCCTCTCATGCAGACAGAAGACATCCGTCTGGAACCAGACCTGTATGAAGCCTGCAAGAGTGACATAAAAAACTACTGTTCCACTGTGCAATACGGCAATGCTCAGGTAACTTTGTTTTTGTTTTTATTTTTTAATTATAAAAGTAATGAGAAGGTGACATTTTAATGATTAATTCTTCACTGATGGGCTCCGTCACATCCTACCTGCAGCCTGCCTATCCAACCTAATCATCCCCTCTTAAGCCAAGCCAGACTACTTTTCAGTCCCCAACAAAGCTCCTTACCTACCCTCCTCTTTGTCTGTTACTTATTTCCTTCCCTGTTTCATGTTGCCCTTCCCCATCGTGTCTGCCTAATAAACCCCTAATCATCCTTCCAATGCCTCCTTCTCTCTGTAGTTTTTCTAGCACTATGTTCCCATTGTGCAGAAGTTCTTAACTAGAGATCACATAAGAATTCACCTATGGAATTTTTTTTTTTTTTTTTTTTTTAAATACACAGAACAGAGTCCTACCCATAATCTCTGGGAATGAAGGGCAAGCGTTTTGTTGTTGTTGTTGTTGTTTTGTTTTTTAATGTTCTCCTGGTAACTCAGTTACTCCTTCTAGTTAAGGTCATTGCTGTGGTGCTTTAGCTTTTCAGATAATTGCTTCATTGGCTTCTTGCATCTAATATTGCTGATGCAAAGTCTGATGTCATTCAGATTCTCATTTTCTACAAAGAATCCTATAATTTCACTGTGGTGTGATTAAGTCTGGGTTTTGTTTTCTTTATCCTGATTGGCCCTTTCAATCTCAGAATTTCTCCAGTTCTGGGACATCGTCAATCATTCTTCATTCAGATACTGTCTTTCTTTTCTTTCTTTTTCGGACCTTTTATTAGCTGGATCATATGAACCTCTCCCCCATGTCTCTTAACTTTTTCTTTCATGTTTCCATTTCTTTGTCTCTTTGTTCTTCATTGAGGTTTGTCAGTTCCATTTCCCAGATTGAAAACTTTTTTTTTTTCAGCTTTTTCCATTCTGCTCTTTAGAGAGACCACAAATTGAGTTTTTAATTTCAACAATTGCATTTTTTAGTTCTAAGATCTCTAACTGGTTCTTTTCATAACTACCTGTTCTTGATTCTTATTTACCATTTCCTCCTGTATTGCTCAAAGGATATTAAATATATTTTTGAATTCTCATTTCGATTGCTCTGTTGCCTCTTTTCCCCTCAGTTTTGTGTCCTTGCTTTATTGCATTTATCATCTTATGGCATTGTTGTTCTTAGGTGCCGTCGAGTCGATTCTGACTCATAGCGACCCTGTGTACAACAGAACGAAGCACTGCCCATTCTTGCACCATCCTCACAATCGTTGCTATGCTTGAGCCAGTTGTTGGAGCTACCGCATCAGTCCATCTCACCGAGGGTCTTCCTGTTTTTCGCCAACACTCTACTTTACCAAGCATGAGGTCCTTCTCCAGGGACTGATCCCTCCTGATAACATGTCCAAAGTATGTGAGATGTAGTCTCTCAATCCTCACTTCTGAGGAGCATTCTGGCTGTACTTCTTCCAAGACAGATTTGTTCATTCTTTTGGCAGTCCCTGGTATATTCAGTATTCTTCACCAACACCATAATTCAAAGGCATCAATTCTTCTCTGGTGTTCCTTATTCATTGTCCAGCTTTCACATCCATATGAGGTGATTGAAAACCCTACAGCTTGGGTCAGACACACATTAGTCGTCAAGGTGACATCTTTGCTTTTTAACACTTTAAAGAGGTCTTTTGCAGCAGATTTGCCCGTTGCAGTGTGTCTGTTGATTTCTTGACTGCTCCTTACCATGGGTCTTGATTGTGAATCCAAGTAAAATGAAATCCTTGATGACTTCAGTCTTTTCTCTGTTTATGATGATGTCCCTTATTGGTCCAGTTGTGAGGATTTTTGTTTTCTTTATGTTGAGGTGCAATCCATACTGAAGGCTGTAGTCTTTGATCTTCATCAGTAAGTAGTTCAAGTCCTCTTCGCTTTCAGCAAGCAAGGTTGTGTCATCTTCATAATGCCCCATTCTTCATATAGTCTGGCTTCTTGGATTATTTGCTCAACTCTTGGTGATTTTTATTGTGCCTTGAGGATTTCATTGAAGTCTCATGGCTCTATTCTACAGTCCTCACTGCTGCAGCTTCTCATCTGCTTTCCTTCTTTATCTTTTTTATAATACCTAAAAGTTGGGTGTAGGAAAGGGGAGACTTCAGGATATACTTAATCTGCTATCTTAAAATCCATCGCATGGCACTTTATGCTTTTATGTTTAGCACTCATCTTTTTTTAAGTATAGCTATTCATTTATATAAGTTTGTCCTGTGAGACTGTATTTGTCAAGGGTAAGGATTGGGTCTGATTCATAGCATCTAATACAGTCTACTCTCATGTGATAAATGATCAATAATTGGTGAATTAGACTGAACTTCCTGACTTGTGCCACTGTCTAATCATTGTTCTTGATCCGGGCACATGCAGACAGCCTAATGTATGCTCCAAAAGGAATCTTGAAAAGGAGCAGCTCTAGAGGGCGGAAGAAACCAGGAATCCCAAGTAGCTTTCCTTCCCTTTGGACTCCAGTGCTGCCTGCTACATTCTTAATTTGTATACAGTTTGGTTTGTTATTAGCCCTAAGTTTGTGGGTTTATAAGTATAATTCTCCTTAGACAGGAAATCTTGATTCCCATTGCCTGGGAATTAGAAACGAAACATACTTAGATAGAAAAATAGGGGGCTCACTAAGACACTTGAGTGCTTCACAGTCAGAATACATGGATTATCAATCCCTGACACACCCTTCAACTTGACCATACTTCTTATGCATTAGATTATTGAATGCCTGAAAGAAAACAAGAAGCAGCTAAGTACCCGTTGCCACCAAAAAGTATTTAAGCTGCAGGAGACAGAGATGATGGACCCGGAACTAGACTATACACTGATGAGAGTCTGCAAGCAAATGATAAAGGTAAGGAATCCAAAACCAAGGGCTGAGTAAGTAAAGGTAAGTAAAATGACAACAACAACATAAACTTCTTTAAATTTCAGAGAATATTTGTATAATCTGCTAATTTCAGCCTCTTTTATACAGCTAAGACAGTGTTTCTCAGAGTGTGGTCCCTAGACCAAAGCGTCTTCATAATCACCTGGGAACTTGCAAATTCTTTAGTCCCATTCAAATCTACTGAATCAGAAACTCTGGGAGTAGAGCAGACAGTCTGTTTAAGGAGCCCTGCAAGTGATTCTGATGCGTGCTCAAGTTTGAGAATCACTGAGCTGAGATGGCTTTGACTTTTGAGGTACAAGTAAATTTATGCCCAATAAATATAAGCTTGGTTTTGAAGGAAGTAAATGGTAGGTATACTAAGAACACCAGTATTGAACTTCCTGATCATCCATCTACTCAAAATATTTTTGTATCCTGCAGGTTGTTTTGTTTCATTTACTCCTCTAGTGAATGTGTTCTCTTGCGTCAGAGCTGAGTACCTAGATTTAAGTTCCATGATCTATCCACATATACATAAAGAAATTTATGGTCCTAGCCCCTTATTTCAGCTTTCCTTTAAAACAAAATGCTACTTTTCACCCTGTCAAATAAATTCTGAAGATGATTTTGAAAGTTAGAAATGTCAGGCTCTGCTTTGAGAGAGCTCCGTAAGAATTTAATGGCTTTTATAAAAATCAGTCAGTGATCCAGGTTCCTATATTAAGATATCAATAGCTTATAATCATTTACACTTTAGAGAACTGGAAACGGAGCACTGGGAAGGGAGGCTTGATGCTCAAGGGTCTCTCCAGAGTTTATCAGACACTGTAACATTTAAAGACTTGTAGTTTAGCAAGTAGAGACGAGCTTATTACTAGTCTAAAATGAATCTCTGCCTTAAAGGACAATAATATGTACACAGGGGCCAACCCCACAGTGTTTGATAGGATTATAGCCCCTGGAGTTAAGAGGTGAACCAAACTGGGCCCTTACCCCACATGCTTTTTCACATTGGTTTGTGGGTAATTCTTAGGTTTTCCCACCGGAGTTGGGTATAGATATGTCTTGAGGGCTACATGGTCACCTGGTAGAATGTTATGCTTAAACAATATTTAAGCTCATAAGATCAACCCTATGTAATGTAGAAAACAGTGAGTGGACAGAAATGTGGGAGAAAATGGGTAAAAAGAGACAAGCTTGCGGCCAGGTGCTTGTTCAGGCTTAGCCAATTCTCTGGTGCCTAGTGATAACCTTCAGGCTGCTTCTTTCATAAGCATTCCAGTAGATGTAAGAGTGATCTCAGATGGTGCTAATTGCCATATTTGGATAACTGTATTATAAAAACTTTGTTTGCAGAGGTTCTGTCCTGAAGCAGATTCTAAAACCATGTTGCAGTGCTTGAAGCAAAATAAAAATAGCGAACTGATGGATCCCAAATGCAAACAGATGATTACCAAGCGCCAGATCACCCAGAACACAGGTAGCCTGGCTTTCCTGGTCCTGCTGAGTATATAGCTGAAATGGAATTGAGTGGGCACAGAATTACCTAATTAAGCTACAGGTGGTTTGTTGCCCATGAATTTTAAGGGCAAGAGTCTGGATGTAAGGAAAATGGCTTACTCCTCCTTTGAAGAGGATCCAGAAGAATGGAATGAAAGTCATGGGAAACAGGAAGTTAGGAAAAAACAGAAAACCGCCCTTGAAGGGCCTACCAAACGAATCAGGGCTGATGTCCCCTGCGAAGAAACACCTACAGATTTATAAAACGTCATGCATGTAGCAGGAGAATATGTGGGTAATCTTGTTTTAGAACAGAGAAATACAGCTCTCAGTTGCGAGATCTTGTAACTTAATACACAAGGTGTGTTAGATATTTTCTTCTTGGTATTTTCAAGTATATCTATTGTAGGGAAGGTTGCTGATGTCTGCTTGATTTTTGTGAGGATTACTTAGAGTATTAGGACCACAAGACCCTGCAGAGCTGCTGCAGAATGGAGGAATCCCTGGAGATGTCCAGATCTACTGTTTTACCAAATCTTATTGCTGATTAAAAACAGTGTAGTGAGAGCTCAGGAAATATTCATTGAATAAACTCATCAGTGGTTGTAGTCATGGTCATGTATATAATATGCCCCTTTTTGGAAGGTAGATCTCTAAAAATTTGTTAATCTAGGCGGAGTATTTTATCACATGCTTAACCACTATCTGTTCTAGATTACCGCTTAAACCCTGTGCTAAGGAAAGCCTGTAAAGCTGACATTCCTAAATTCTGTCATGGAATCCTGACTAAGGCCAAGGACGATTCAGAGTTAGAAGGTCAAGTCATCTCTTGCCTCAAACTGAGATATGCCGACCAGGTAAACTGGCCTGGGCTCTCCACAGAAGTGTATATATGGAGCCACCTCTGCCCCTGAGAGTATTCCCTTTTTGAAGTCCCTGGCTTGCTCCTACTTTTCCAAGACTTTTTCATACCTTCCCTATCCAGGGGCTAAGGGACCAAATAAAAGCTGAAATTTTCTAATAGGCTGATTTATGCTCCCTTTCTCACATGTAGCGCCTCTCTCCAGACTGTGAAGACCAGATCCGAATTATTATCCAAGAGTCTGCTCTAGATTACCGACTAGACCCTCAGCTCCAGCTGCATTGCTCAGAAGAGGTAAGATTTGGGTGCAGAATTGGTTGTCAGCAGAGCTGATCAGAGAAGCTATTGTTGAAGAATTCTTTACTGTGCTTCCTTTCCCTTCAGCCCTGAATCTGTGGTTAGTTGAAGGCCCATCTTCTAGGCTCTCCATTGTCTTCAGTTCTGATTTCTATAACACTGAATTAGACTTGGCTTTAGTGCTGTCACTGCACAACTTTATTTCCATATTTCTGTATTGAACAAGGGTATTCTTTTATTTTACCTATCTAGATATAATTTGTTCTTTCCTTCTCCTTATTCGTCATGGTCAGCCCAGGACATCTCAAGTCTTGCCGTAAAGGTAAAATTGCTCCCATAACTGCTCTAAAGAAATGTCTGTCCTTGGAAATTATTAGACTTCCTAGCTTGAAAAGGACATGTGGAGAACCCTGTTCAACATATGTCAGTTTTAGGGGATCATAGCTAAAGATATTTCAAAGAAACTTACTCAGAACTATCTAAAGAAGTTTAAGCTTTTCATCTTTGCATGGGCTTTGTTTCAGGACTCCTCTGTGTGTGTGTGCATGCTTCCAAGTTGTGAATCTGGGTTGACCCTCAGCCTCTGTAAAAGGCAGGTTTTTGCTTTTAGTATTTTACTCGGCTTTATAACCTTTCTTCTTTTGGAACCAGGTAGTAGCCATCTTTGTGACAAGTCCTGGGACAGTCTGACTGAAATCTCAGGGTAGGCAGCATAAAGATATGTTTGTACTGATTTTGGACTCTGTGTGCCAGTCATTGTGAAGGAAAACAGAGCCCATCCAATACAAGAGAGAGGGGAGTGAAATCCACGACTCTGTTTGACGAACCCTCAGCACATGTGGTCAGAGGATCACCAAATCGACATGTTTAAGAAACCATGGTTTCTGGTGATAGCGGGGTCATCCCTCACTTAGAAAGCAGCAGTGACTCATTATGAGGCAGCACCAACACTGCACTGTCCAGAACTTGTTGGAATCAGCACACTCAACAGCTTTTGAAACCTTTTGCTCATTTCTCGTGCTCAATGAGGTGGCCTTGTTTTGTGTGTGTCTCCTGAACAGATCTCTAGTCTTTGTGCCGAAGAAGCAGCAGCCCAAGAGCAGACAGGTCAAGTAGAAGAGTGCCTCAAAGTTAACCTGCTCAAAATCAAAACTGAGTTGTGTAAAAAGGTAACCATTATCACCTTTTTAACCCTCACTTCCTTCTTTTTCCTCTTTTCTTCCCTTTAATGCTGTAGTCTGCACATCTTAATTATAAAATCTAAAATCCACACCTTCCTTTGCAGAATTCTATGCTGTTCCTTCTAAACCAAACTTTAATTTGGCCCTTGACCATTAATCGTCTATAACTTGAATGATAAAATTCCACAATAATGTACTACAGTTTCTTTCACATGTACTAATTCTGTATGAATATGTTTCATCTGCCATTACTAGACCTTTTTTTAAAGGCACCGTGAGTGCAATGGAGCCCTGGTTAGCTCAGGCTGCTAACCAAAAGGTCAGCAGTTTGAATCCACCAGCCACTCCTTAGAAACTCTACAAGGCAGCTCTACTCTGTCCTATAGAGTCACTATGAGTCAGAATTGACCTGACGGCAACGGGTTTGGGTCTTTTTTTGTTTGTTTTGGTGAGTGCAATGCCAAAGCAAAATGTCAATACCAGTATATCAATAAGTGTTCAACATTCATAAAAATCAGTCAAACTAAAACTTATAGAAAAATATGACTGCTAAGTATAAATTATCTTACAAAATTAAAAATGAAGTAATATTTAATCTTTTTTAAAAAAGCTTTCTCTTTTTTAAAAAAAAAGTGTTTCAGTGACATCATTGTCAAATTGATGAGAAAGTGGTGTGCAAATTTTTCAACTGCTAAAAAAGTTTCTGATTCCACTTGGTCTGGGGAATGGTAGGAGTTGGTTAAAAACTAAATCGAGTTATTTTCCTTTGGCTCCTTTATCATTACTTTGAGAGGACTTTTTGGGCAATATTTGGATTTTGTTTTTGGGTTTTGTTATTGTTGTTTTGCAGGCACTCCAGCCTTTCTATTGAGAGCAAACTGTAATTTTTGTTTAAGAAAGCCTTTCTGGTCTGTCTTTTCCTTCTTTAATTTCATCATGTATAAATGGAGAGTCTGGCAGGGTGCTGTCAGTACTTATGTTTGTATTCCTCTTGTTCAGAAAACCTTTAAACTCAAGAAAGCATTTTTCTTGTAGTCAGTCTTCTTTTCCTTTTGAGGGTAACAGTGCTAGAGTGAAACACCTTGTAAGCAAGTACACCTTTGTTTGACTAGGAATCTTAATCACTTATATCTTTGTCACTTTGTAGCATATCACTCTGATTTTCAGATTTCTTAAAGTAACAAAATAACTGTATTATACCACTAAAAATACTAAATTTAGGTACTTCAAAATAATACGGCATACCAGATACCAAAAAACCAAATCAGGTCTTAAAATCATTAAAGGGTAGAGACCATCTCATCTTTTTATCCCCTGCTTTACTTAGCAAACAGCTTTGCATGCACTAGATCTCAGGATGTATTTATTAGTTAAATTGGATGCTACTGCATTCTTTGCATCATTGCCACCTATCCCAGAGTAATCTCTGTTGTTAACCCTCAGCCTTCCCTCCTTGATTTTTTTGTTTGTATATGAAGTACTTACAGGCAACCGATTTGATGCATTTGCTCAATAAAATTTCCCTCTGCAATCGTCTTCCTTTCCCAGGAAGTGTTAAACATGCTGAAGGAAAGCAAAGCAGACATCTTCGTGGACCCAGTTCTTCATACAGCTTGTGCCCTGGACATCAAACATCACTGTGCAGCCATTACCCCTGGCCGAGGGCGTCGTAAGTCACTCCCAACTCAGTTTTGTGTTCACTCTGACCTTATCTGAACTATTTCGGAAAGAGTAAAGACTTCCCCCTAGACATCAGTTGCAACTACTCTGATCTGTAGGTATACAGCTCAACCACAGACAAAATCCCTGTGGACCTGGTTGATGCCAGGACTAGGCCTGTATAGCAAAATGAACTTAGGATTAGTCCTGCAAGTGTGAACTGCCCTAGCCATGACCAGAGCTACAGAATTGATGGAAGAGAAGGAGTTGTCAGTTATTTATTAGGGAAACAAACGTTAAGCCATCACCATGACCTTTATTCTCCCCTTTCCCAAACTGGAACAGCTTTGTCAGCTTCGCCAGACTGGACTCAGTAGACAGGTTCTGTGTGAGGTTGGGACCAGGGCAGCTGTAAAAGTTGTGTCTGAGCCAGGCATGCCCAATAAAAATGGAAGAAGTTTTAAGAGAGATTCTGGACAGCCAGCCCTGGAAGTTAAGTACCTTTCCTCTCCCTGTTGGACCTTGGGTCAGGTTTCCTGGAATGGGTTTAACTTTGTTTAGCCCACAGATCTGAATTTTCTGGTGCTCGGATGCTCTGCTCCCCAGCCTTTCAGGACTTTCTCTGTTCTGTAGTTTCAGACCCTTCTGCTTATCCTTTTCCTTCCACAGAAATGTCCTGCCTTATGGAGGCCCTGGAGGACAAGCGAGTGAGGTTACAACCTGAGTGCAAAAAACGCCTCAACGACCGGATTGAAATGTGGAGTTATGCAGCAAAGGTAATGACCCAGAAAATCTCCTAAAACAGCCATCTCTTCTGTCAGTTTCCCAGTCTCTTCAAGATCATTGACGGGTTTTTTTGTCTTTGTTGTCAGACTGGCTGTAAGTGTATATGAAAAATCTGTCAGTGAACCTTTTCTTTAAAACTTCATGGCTGTCCATGAGCCTGGAGCCCCATCTCCTTTTGCACCGGGGTTGTGTCTGCATGGCTCTGCCAAGGCCACTACTTTCTGCCCTCAGTTACCCTCAGTTAGCGATTGAAAAATGAGTCACCCAAAGGAGGGATGTAACATAAGCCGACCATGCAGTTATTACTTGCCCAAATTCAAAGAGAAAACAGACCTCAGGCCCATGGGAAAAGAAAGAAATTCCACCTCCTCTCCCTTGTAGCTTGTGTTTTTAATTTCACAGAGTCTTTAGAAGAATATGTATATGAGACTAGCCCTCAGCTAGCCTGGAACAGGGAGAATAATAGAAATGATGAGCCATTTGTGAACGTGTGTGGTACCCAGGCTGGGGGGATATTTTTCCTACAAAAATTCAGCCTCAGTGAGAAGAATAACAGTTCTCATGTCTACATTGTTTTGTAGTTTACAAACACTTTGATGGATATATTACCTCTTTTGAGCTTTGAAATAATCCTGTGAGGTAAGGCGAATGATTATTTCCTCACTTCACAGTGGAGAAAACCGTGACTTCAGAGATTATGACCTGCCAGAGGTTCCTCAGTGAAAGGTCACATTTCTGGATCCGTGCTGTTTGTGTCACCCCACAGTAGAATAGACATTTCCAGTTACCTTAAGTGCACAGAGTGACCATGGGGCTTACCTCTTTTTCCTGGTTAATTCCTCCTGTCACTCATATGCTTAAAGGTCAAGGGGAACAAGGCAAGAGGGAAAGAGCACAGAAAGTCTTCATACCTAGACATGAGGGAATGAGGGGAAGGGACCATAATTGTCACAGTGGCAAGCACTTCTCCCTCTTCTCCCAAGGGAAAAGAGGTAGCTTTGAAGACCTGGTTAGATGAGGCAACAGAAACACTAAATTCATTCATTCTCTCCTCACTGGTTTCCACTCCCTTGAGTTGCTTATTAGCATTCCTTCAGACTGCTTGTTTTTTGCTGGCAAATGTAAATACTGATGCTCAAATTGAATTGATCTCAAGCTTCCCCTGCTGTGTTCTGTGTACATGAGATGAGCATAGAAGATGCTCAGCGCTCTCTGGGCCAGCCCTTTTCAGGTACCCAGGCAAATATGAAACTACTGACTCAGAAGAACAGGTTTGTGTGCACCTGGGGAAACTTTTGGTCCTGGTTCTTCCATAGTGGGCTGCTGTGGAGGTTCATTTGAGAAACCATTGTGGAAAAATGAGGATGAAAACTGGTTAGACTTTACGTGTCCAGATTGGGGAGGTTGTTTAAGTATATTCAGTTTAGCCCACATTTGCAAATTATTGATTATTGATGTAGGGGAATGTTTATCATATAATGCTGAAGGAAAAAAGTCATAATACAGAATTAACATACAACACAACCTCAACTTGTTTGTATTTAAAAAGATAGCAAACAAAAAATATGAAGAATGTGTAAGAAAATATAATTTATAAGAAGCTGTGGCCTTCTGCAAGTCACTTAACCTCCCAGGCCTCTGGGTCTTCATCTGTAATATGAAAGTAATAAAATCTACTTGCTAGGATTGCCGTGAAGAGGAAATGAATGAAAACATGTGCAGGGCCTGACTTGTATTATTACGTTAGCAGTGGTGATCACTGTGGTGGAACTGTGGGTGACTGCATCTCTTTGTATTTTTCTGTATTATTTTTTTGTGGTAGATATACACAGTTCTGTGATCATGAAAAAGAGCTGTAGCTCTGTGTTTGATTTTCTTGTTCCCTTCCCTCCCTCCCCAAAAGAAAGGACATCGATTGAACTAGGAATCGAGGGTGGCAAGTTAGTCTGAGCACTGCCACCAGCCCAGTTATCTCTCAGAGTATGATGTTGCTACGTGTCCTTACAGGTGGCCCCAGCAGATGGCTTCTCTGATCTCGCCATGCAAGTGATGACATCCCCATCAAAGAACTACATTCTCTCTGTAATCAGTGGGAGCATCTGCATATTGTTCCTGATTGGCCTGATGTGTGGACGTATCACCAAGCGAGTAACACGAGAGCTCAAGGACAGGTAGAGCCGTCTTGACCACCAAAGGAACTACCTGTCCAGTGCCCAGTTTGTACAGCCCTCCTGTATAGTGTACCTATTCACCTCACTCTTCTAAGAGGTGACATCAACACCCATGTTAGAGCAGCAGCAGGTAGCCACTGCATTGTCCTATTTCAGACGTCATCCATGTCCATGGTGTCCTCCTCGTTCTCAGCCATTTGTGCAGCATCAGCACCTGGCCGCTTCGGTTATTGCCTTTATTGGCAAACTTTGGGTTACCTGCCCGTAGGCAAGTCTCTTATACCAATGGAACTACCAGTACTTCCAGAACCAACTCACCTGACCTGCAACTCATGATTTTTTTTTTTTTTTTTAAAAAAAAAAACACCAAAAAAAAGAAAGCAATTTTTAGAAAGGAAAAAAAATGTATATAGTACCACATCTCTTCCAGGCTTGATTTGGGCAATGGGGTTATGTCTTTTGTGTGACTGTGTAAAGTAAAGGCAGGACTTTAGAGGGGAAGCACACCACCCAGTATACTCTTAACTGGGGTGTCTTGCTCATTTCTCAAAAGCACCTTCGGGCCATGTCAGGCCATGGACATCACCCACGAGTGGGAAACCACTAACCAGCCTGCTCTGGGTCCCCTTTTCTTCTGCTGAAACAGTAATGCCTTCAGTTCCCACTCTAGGAGAGCCACTGCTGGTGAAGACCACAAGGCCATGGGTATTTCTGTGATTCCTCACCTCAGTGAAGTACAGCACGAGCCTCCCTAGGCCAGGGGCAAATGGGTTGGGGAGAGGATCAAAAGTTCATGAAGCCCATCAGTCCTTCGAACTGTATTGACAGGCTGGATTCTTACTCTCCAGGTTGCAGGCTCCCAGTAATCTTCCTTCTCCAGGATAGTGCAGGACTTCTGTGGGTTTGGATTGACCCTGCTGAGGTAGCAGTTCTTCCAGAAGTCCTCAGCTTCCTCGAGAGGCACTGACTAGGAGGAAGGGTTCCTTTGACACGTGGATGGGGGGAGGGGCAGGGCAGGAAGAAAGAACGGGTTCCATTCGCTCTGCTTTATTTTTCAGGCTCAAATACAGGTCAGAGACAATGGCATGGTCTCAGGGTGTGGCTGGCAGTCCCACCTGACCTTTCTGTAGGCTCAAGGCAAGCTTCCAAGACAAGCTCCTTTATGCCTCTACATGGAGAGGGTCTGAAAAGTGATTACATTAAAAGATGAAGGGTTTTCTCCATTTTTTTTTTTTTTTTCCTTTCTATTCATTTGCTGTGTATACCCACTCCCTTAGGCGTTGGTTAAATGCCTTTCCAGAACCTGAGCTTTGTAGAAGCAATATTCCTGGCTTTCTTTCCTCTTTCCTCCAGTGTGGGGATCGCAGGTTCGGGATATAAAAAGGGAGGAGTCCAGGCATCATGGTTCAGTCCTGGCATACCTTTGAATGAGTTTGGGGCATGAAGTCACCATGGCTGCTCAAGAGGGCAGCATGTACAGTAGGAGATATATTTATATAATATATATTTTATTAACCTGTTAGATGTCCACAGAATATTCTAAATCATGTGCCTAAAACTGTCCACATAGACCAAGGCCCATTCATGGTGCCCTTCCTTCCCCTGCCTCCCCTTTGCCACTGTCCACATTTGCTGCGGTAACTAAAGCAACATTTGTCTTCCCTGAAATGTGTTCAAATTCAAGGTGGGAGCATGTCAATTTGTGGATCAGCAGATCCAAATCACTCCTCATCTCACCTGACTGACGTATATTTGAATACTGTGGTTTTCTTCTTTTTTCTTTTTTGCTACCTTTCCTGGAGGCAGTGGGTTCCAGAAACCAGCTGTGTATCCCCCCTGCTTAGGGTAATACTTCACCAAGGGGAGCTACTAAGCTGCTTGGTCCCTCAGCCCTGCTCTTAGGGGCTTCCTGATAGTCAGCAACTGTCCTGGGATTCTTCAATCTCATAAAACTTGAAACTCTTGGAGAACATGCTGCATACCCTATCACCACCACTGCTGGACTGAACTGAACTGGTCCAGATATTCCTTCTCCAGGGGCTCCCATCTGGGTGATGGGGGCTGCTGAGGCTTTGCATTGAAAACTGGGAGTGTTGGATTGAGAACTAGGAATGTTATCTAAATGCAGGTGCCCCCTCCCTGACATGTCTGGCATGGCTTACAGGATAGGGTTAGTGTTCACCACTTACTGAGGGTGGGGGCTGCCATGCTGCATCTCTCCCAATATATGTGAAGCATTCCTATAGTTCTAACGTGTCTCGATAGTTTTGTTCTTTTTTAACTGAGAGAAGATTCCATTAGTTATCTGCGGCAGGTTTGGAAGTTTGAAAAGGTATTACGTTCAGGAAACATTTGTCACCTTTAGAAATGGTCAAAATAGAAGCAATAACTCTGATAGTATCTTTAACTGCTTTTTGCAAGACAGAATTTCACCATCCTACTGGGAATAGTTTTGTGTGAATGGTTCTTAAAAGTCCCCAGGCAGTATCCTGAGCAGGTGTTCTAATCCAAGGGACCCAGCACCATCTGAACTGGCAGCCCAGCCACAGCCATTCTGTACCTCATTTGGCACAGTAAAGTAGGTTCGGGACCACCTCCGGTTACTGGACTTGTAGGTTAGTCAAGGGTATGAATCAACTAGTTGAGAATTAGGAAGAAGAGGAAAGTGTAACCCTAGCATAGGAACCAATGATCGATTTTGGCCTTTATCTCTTCTCCTACAGTCTAGCCCATGAACAATAATATAAGTAGCAGGTAGGGGTTTTTTTTTTGCCAAGGCCAAGTGATTGCTCAAGGCTCTGAGCATTTGCTGAAGACTACAGCAGCTCACTCCAGTATCTCAGGGACTCTTACCCTTAGTGTGCTGTACTCCAGAGGCATCAGGAGTCTCCTGAGCTGAAGTACTGCAGTACAGGAAATCAGAAATCTGGGCAAAAGTCGAGAACAAGACTAACTGCTTCACCTCAAACAGAGCTGCTCCCACAGAAGGGCAGCTCTGAGTGAGGCTTTCACCTCGCTGTCCCCAGCCTTGCTCTGCTGTTGCTGCTGTCCCAGCAAGCAGCACTGAGACAAGAGCCACCCCAAACATTTGGGTTCACTCCAGTGGGAAAGCCCCCTTCTCTGCATTCCCTGGAGACCCTCTGGCTGTCAGTCCCAGTCACAGCCCCAGTTCTGTGGCTCCAGTCAGCTTGTTCTGAGCCAGTGTACACTTAGAAGCTAGGGGGATTCTGGGATGGCCAATTAAGTCATGTTCAGTGAGCAGGTGGTGACTAGAATCCATTGGAAGCCTTTGACTATCTCATACCCTAAACTTGGTCTTCTGAGGAACAGTAAGCAGCTCGGGTGCAGGGGTGGGGAAACACCGCTTTGCTAGAGGTACAACAGAAAATTACTGTCAGATGTCATTTCTTCCTGTTTCCCGAAGTCACCTAACAGAAGAATCCAATGGTGAAGAGGACTACCCAGTTCTTATATATCCAGACTTCTAGAAATGTCTCCCATCCTCCCTTAGTCCAGGTTTCTGGTCCTGCCCCTGTCCCAAAGATCCCCACTGTGAGAGTCATCCAGGGAGGGGTAAGTTGCTTCTTTGGACTTCGTTTCTTAGCTGGTCTCAAGTCTCTATGAGAAAAGCCCTTCCCTTCACATTCATTTCCCACAAAGTAACTATTTGCTACATATAACTTACTCTAAGTAAGCAGATAAGGAAAAAGAAGCTGGAATAGAGACCCTGGGACGTCAACCAACCCAGCCACACAATCCTGGCACATTCAACCTAAATTTTGGCCATGGAACAGAGAGAAGACTATGGCATTTTGCCTGTGTTTACTTATATTTCAAATTCTAATGAATTTGAAAACCTCAAAGATCAGAATGCTCTATTTTATTTCTCACCATTTGGACAGCACCTATGTACTTTTATAAAATGTAGCATTCTAGCGCTGTGAGTTTCTCCTGGGCTTCTGGGGATACTTCTTTCTCCTCTCCTAATTCTTGCCCTCTTTACCACTAGTCTTTGATTCCCAAAGGGTCTGGGCCAGAGGATCTGATGTTTTGGCCTCGTTCCCTCTCATCTGTCTTTAGTTGACCATCCCTCTAGCTACACTCCTTCTTGGTCCTCCTCCCTCCACTGGGGCCAAGGTCACATGTTAGGGCAAATCCACCTTCCCACTCAGACCTTAGATAACAGATAACTAGCAAGCCCAGACTGAATCTTCAGGGTGACAGACTCCCCTAAACCATCTGGCGAGATCACTGTGGGGACCACGAAATTGTTTCTCACTGGAGTACAAAGGTGGGACCATCTATTTAGAGCTGGTGGTGAAAGGATCCTGACAGGTGGCGTCCTCCTTCCCCTGCCCCGTCATCCCCCACAATGCACAGTAAGGGTGTTGGGAGGTGCATATCGAGGAACTCTTCCTGGGCAAGGAAAAACTCAAGACAGTGCCTCTATATTCTGCTTTTTGCCTTTCCCCCAAGAGGACTGACATCTGGACCCCAGAGCCCAGCAGGGCGCTACACCACGCAGGCCAGGTAGTTTGAGCAGGACCCCGCCCAAACTGCAGTGCACCGGATGCAGTGCCAACAGGAGGGCTGGCAACAGGCAGGCTTCCTGAGTGGCTTCTCCCAGCACAATCTCCTGGGTCAGTCCTAGCAGGAAAACAGACTGCACAGCAAATGCTGTGAGCGCTTAGGCCTTTAACTTTTTTTTTTTTAAGAAAGAAAAAAGAAAATTAACAAACCTCTTTTGTAAATGGTTTTCCTTTCTATGTACAAAATCCTGGCAGTTCCTTGTTTTTACATGTTCATGCTATGTAATTTTGAGATGTTACTGAGATTCTGAACATAATGTGCATTTTTTTCTGTACAGATGAAATGGGAGAATTTAATAAAGAGTTTGCAGGTTTTTACTTGTTAAATCTTCTCTCTGGTCACTGGGAGGAATCTCCAACCACCTGTTCTGCTAGTAGAAGTTTGTGAAGCTATAAACAATGACTGTGAACTAGCCTACTGATGCTCACAAAACCTTGCTGATAAGGTTTTCGGTCTTCTTGGCTAATTAGGTCAAGCAGAATAGGACCATAGAACTTTTTGAGGAAAGGGCACCTCGATCCTCTTGTTCTGTGTATGCTAGTGGCAGAGCTGGAAGTTGAATTCACAGTTCTCGGGCTGAAGTGTCCAGAATGATTCATGTCATGAGGCTCCCTCCTGAGGAGAGCACATGCCTGGAACCTCTCCCTGTAGACAATCCAGGTGTCTGTAGATAAACCTGGTCTCTATTGGCCCATCAAGGCCCAGAAGTAGGCTGCATTTTTTTTTTTTTCCAGTGCCCTCCTATTCCCCTTTTCAGTCCTCTCCTCTCCATTCCAGCAGCCCAGTCCCT